TCTATATATAAATAAGATGGAAATAAATTTAAAAAAAAAATAGGGGGAAATCAAAAACCATTTCTTAGATTTGGAAGCTCTTCTCTCTCCAATAGGTGGTACAAGGAAGCCATGGACCCCAAGGTCAGAGAAGGCTTGTTGGCCATCCATGGTTTGCCTTTTTTTTTTGGTTAATTATTATATTTTAGCTTATTTTCTCCCTATCTCGTCCCATTCATTTATACTCTTCTCAATTTGCATGTAAAACCAACATGATGTGTCCTAAGTTTACGTTGTTCTCTTTAAACCTTAGTTTATGATGTTTTGTATGGTATGCTCGATTTTCAACATCTTAACCCCAATTATTTCCTCTTCCCCCACATCCTCACTCGTTCCCCAACACCCTCAAAAATTGCCAAAACCCCATGCAATGGCCTCCAGCCTCCTCCAAAAGAAATCGATTGCACTTCCTTCTTCAAACCCAAAACTCCAAATGCCTCCATATACATGTTTCTACACCCCCACCATCTCCTTCCACACTCTAAATCACATCTTCAACTCATAACCTAACCCTAGGCATCCCATCCTCAAAATACCAGCTTTCATGCTTCATAACATTAATATTTGATGATGATGATTTGGAACATTTATGAGACCGCCAATAATTAAAATGGTTATCCTGGTTACAATTAAACTAATTGTAATCATCAAATCCATTGTAATATGGCTCATTATATTTTTTCTATTAATAAGAATAAAAATTGTAATCATATATGTAATTATGAAAATCACTGCATGATTATTGGTTGATTTCTTGATCGTTTTATCTAGTACCTATAAACAATATTTCAACCAATCATCATTCTATAAACTTTTCTGAAAATTAATTATCATAATATATGATGCTTAAGGTTTATAATGGTGATGAATCAAATATTTCACCAATAAGCGATATCAAAAATAATATTATGAATTTAGAAGCTTATGAGCTTGATAGGCATGTCAATAATTAATCCCTTTCACCCAAAGTTCCCAAGTAGACCCAGAGAACACAAATGAAGGAATTCATTCATGGAGATTAAGAAGGAAAAGTCAAGCCTTATATTTCCTAGTTTATCAAATTGGCATCAAAGCAATTCTTCATATTCCATCCATTAATATCAAAAGCAAATTTCCTAAAGGTCATTGCATTTAAACCCTGGCCACATAACCACCCCTTACCCTTAACAATCCGACAACACCACAATGTTCCAAATAAAAACTAGAAAAAAAAAAATCAAAACCCTAACCAAATCCTTAGATAATATGCACTTCTTTGTCCATTACCATGACATTTTTTAAGCAAGAAAATGATATGAAATACTTGAGTTCGCCAGTAATCCAAGAGGAAATACTTGAGTTCGCAAGCAACCCTAGCAATAATTGGTCCAAAACAACAAGAAAAAATAGAAATATGGATGAAATCAATCTAGAAAAGATAGATTGCGATATTGGAATTAAAGCAAAGCAAAATGCAATTGATCCTCAATTCGAGAGTATCGTCTCTCCAAATCTCTAGATTGTAGATCTATAGCCCAAAACACGAAGGAACTCTCCAAAAGAACAACTCAAATTGTGCATCCCCTAACCCATAGCCTCTCATCCTCTTTAAATACCATCCTTCCTAATAAAAAGCTTCATAATATAATTTTATTTCAAATTGCCCTCATGCATGAACCGCCCCCCTCCTCTCTCTCTCTTTAGTTGCCGCCCGAGGAGGTGGGACCCACCCGCTTAAGCGATGGGTTTAAGAGGAGGCGGCTTAGCCTGCCTTCTGTATGTCCGAATCGGCCCCTCCTGGGCCGGTTTGGGTTGATTCGTAATAGAAAATTGACGCATACAATGTGCAGATTATGCCCGAGAGATATATCACAAACTATATAAATTCACTTATAGAGCTACAAAATTTATATTTCCTAGAAAATCAAGCCATTTTGCGTTCCTCAAATTTTGAGCCTTACATATTATAAGAGAAAGATGAATCAAAAAGGTTGACAGACAAACTAGAGGGGAGAGAGTATTCAAATTCATGATAAACCATGAGAGTGGGATCTAGTAGAGGCAATAGAGAGGTGAAGAGAACCAAGGAGTAGAATGTTGTCATTATTCAAAATGCATTCATGATCAAAATAGCATCCATTCGACTCCCATTTACAAAAATGAAGTTTTAAGGCAATCAAACTAATTTTCTTTTGAATCTAGAAAATGCATAAACATCCTATCATTAAGTTCAAAATAAATATAATTATTACATTTAAATATAATAAAACAAAAAATTAACTCCAAGACAAAAAAAAAATACTAGAAAATTTTATACTATTACATTGTTGATGCATGTTTTAAATTGCATCACTTGGTTTTATTGCTAATAATTATATGCCAATGATGCACCAACACTTACAATAATGAAGCATGTCATCTTAGACACATGCAGGCACAAGCACTTCTTGATGCTCGCATGACACATGTTAGACACCATTTGCTTGTTCAATCAAAAAATTTAAAAAAACAAATTGACATACATGTCCTCTATATGTTTCCTAAATAAAAAATTTTAACTTTAAAAGTATATTAAATAATAACCTAAATTAAGCCACCCATTCTTTTTAATTTAAATATATTACTTTAAAAACTTAATAGCCATTTAACACTAATATATGTTTCTTATTCCGCTCTATTTTTTAAGATTTCTTATAATACTTGTTATTTTATTTTTCTCACAAAATCATCGATTAAAAAGGCGTTCGAGGCGGACGCCTTGAGGTGCGCCTCGAATCGAGGCGGAGGTCGGGCGAACTGAGGCTTAAGCCTCGAACGCTCGGGCGAGGCTTACGCCTTTTTCCACGGAGGCGTACGCCTCACCGCGTGAGGCGTCGAGGCGCATCGAGGCAGCGCCTCGAAAGTGAGAAAGTTACCTTCACAGTCAGCGAGCTCCCGTTGTTTCTTCCGATCAAAATGTTGTAGCTTACGATCCGATAGGAAAGGGAAAGTCGTCGAAGGAGCAAAGTCGAACAGCCACGAAGGAGCTAAAGAAGCGACGCGTGCAATCTCTACACCTCCTGTGAAGCAACGAAGCCGAACAGCAAGGACGAAAAGAGAAGATGAAAGGCAAACCGTAGACGCAACTAAGTTATTATTGATTAACTTAGTTAATATAATTTAAAATATTAATAATTAAACAAATTAATTAAATAATTAATAATATAATTAGTGCATGAATTAATTATCTATTTTAACTTAACTGAATAATTAGTATTATAATTATTAATTAAATTTTGATATAATTAGCCTAATTAATATAAATTACATTTAAATTACGCGGTATGCTCGGTACTGAGTTGTACATGCTCGTTACTGAGCGGTACATGCTCGGTACGCTCGGTATTGAGCATATACAACAAGCAGAATTTCAAAATTACTCTTATAATATAACTTTGTTCAGGGGGGAGCAGCGCCCCCTTGGACCCCTGGCAAACTGGTATATTTTTGTATTCATGTTATTTTATTATTGGTAGTACAAATAATTATTATTTTTGTTATTTTTTGTCATTATTTAAAATTTTAAATTAATTTATTTTAATCGTTTTGAGGCTTACGCCTCGATCCGCCTGGAGGCTTACGCCTCGCCTCGCTTAGAAAAAACGCCTCGATTCCCGATTTGCCTTTTAAAACCTTGCACAAAATAATCAAACTTTAATGGAATCAAACTACAAATGGAAATTACTTGTTTACTCAAATACTTCCAATTAGTTAATGCTCCATCATCGTCATCATATGAGGGCTTTATCAATACTTAATCGCATCAGGAAAAGGCCAAGTCTAACGCCAGTACGAATATGAAGACAACAATAAATCTATATAATGGAAGTTACCATCTGACTAAAGGATCATGTTCAATCCTTAACCTAAAAAATGTCTCTAGCATTCATCTTACACCCCCAAATTCCATCATCAACTACACGCCAACAAACCATTCCCATCTTATAAGAGTAGCCTTTCGCCTTTTATACATGGATTAATCATGGTTGGTGGAATCCAAGAATAGAGCCACCGCTATTATATTCAAATATAAAAATGTTAAATTGTGGTACAATGATCCAAGCTACACACAGCAGCCTGCATCCGAGCCAGTTATCACCATCCACAGTTCAAAGCAGTTGTTCCAATCTTTGTCAAACCCTTACAGACATTGTAGCCTGCTTAGGGTGCAGCAAAGCTCTTGTGGGTTAAACTCAGGGTCAAAGGGCTGGATGAGACTGCTACCGAAGACCCATGTTAGCAAATTAGTGCTTTGTGCTAGGAAGCCAAAGTCCCAATGCAAAGCCACAAACACCCAAGAAGGCCTACTTTGAGGCCCCATGTAACTTAACTGTAAGAAGCAACCTTACCAACCGTATACAATCTCCATCAGTATTGCCACCAATGCAAAATCAAACTGCTTCAAGGAGTAACTACGTTTTGGTTAAACTAAATGAGAACAGAATAAAGAAACCTATGTGATATATCATAGTTAAAAATATTTGGGTGCATTAGATATAATATAAAAATTTTGGGATGTTGCATAGATGAAAATTCCAGAAATAATACAGTTTCTCACACTGACAAACAAAAATGAATAAATTTGCATGGAGCAGTTGAGATGGTAACAAATATAAATCAAATCTAAAGAAGCCAATTCCAAAAATAATAGAAAAGCATTTCACAAAAATAAATGAATCTGCAGTCATACAAGCTCCACATTCAATCCAAAGGAGCACATCAAGTTACACGGTTTATATGATTTTCATATGTTAAATAACACCACTAAAACAGTATAACCTTTCAAAACAATTGGACAACTTCATGTGCCTTTATAGCATCATCCTCAATAAATGTCTACTTTTACTATAATGAATCAGAATTCATGTTATAGTTTTCAAGATTAACAAAGAACTAAAAATTCATAAACATTGCAGGATTGAAATATGGGGAAAAGAAGCTACCAAGAATAGAAAAGAAAATCATAAATCCTGCTGAAATCTGAACTACCCTTCGGCTGCCAATTCGCGTCAAAGCCAGCAAACCAGTATTTTCTCTATGAAAGAGCAACAAGACAAACAAATTTTCACTGTATTTAGTAGAGAGTGAAAATGAACATCAATACATCAAACATGTCTTACACTGATACAGTGGAGCCACTTGAAGTTCCAAACAAACCATCCAGCAAGATGCCAATTCCCTGGAACCAGAAGCAATAATATAATAATTGGTACAAAATCCAAGGAACCAAATTTAGGTAGCACCAACTCATTTCCGAACCTGCCAACCAATTCCACGACTTAGAACGGATGGAGGCAGTGGAGTTGCACTCGCATACCTAGACACGGCAATGAAAGTCCCAGTAGACTGCACAATAGTATGTATTCCAGACGTAAGCATTAAGCAGTATCATAACAGCAGAGAAAATAGTAAAACAAAATAAGAATAGTAAGCTGCACCTTTGCATTATACACAAAAAGAAATAAGAACAATTCAAAACTTATAGAATGTAATAAGAGACCTCTACTAGACCAACAAATGCAGCAGCCATCATCGCGAAGGCTTCCCCAGCATCAAATGATGGTGCCCCCCACTGAAAAGGGTATGGAACTCTAATCCTACAAGAAAAAAAGTTTTAAAAAACAAAATACACAAATCGCAAGAAGCGGAACTATATTCATGCTGAACATTTAACCAAAATTAGGCAAAATAAACACAGTAGCTGACTCAAGTTACCAGGGAGCCGAGCTAACAAGGCCAGAACGATCCGTACGGCAGTGTGATTGTGTTTTTGGTGGGGTATGCTTATAGGCCCCACCGATGGTGAGAAAATATGCATACAACCATACAATTGCAACAGAAAAGATGACTGCAAACCGACCAAATACTGGCTTCTCTGCATGTACAGCATGAGGCATGTACTGCACAGGAAACAAATATTTCATCAATTAACTTTAGATACTCAAATAGATATTTGTTGGGCAAACAACTAACACACCATAATCACACTTGTTAGATTCTCTATTTCTGAAGCAGTTCGTGAAAAGTAATTCAAAATGATACCTGTGAAATAAAAATCAGTATGATTATTGTTGGGAGCCCAATCTCAACACATTTAGCGACCTGCAATACATTGTAAAATCTATCAGCAATGCTTGTAACCTAGTATATACAATGCCAAGGAACACAAACTGAAATGAATTGATGAAAAAGCAATACACTTTGAATGAATAACTAGTTTAGAGCACAACAAAACTGCCTATCAACAACTAGTTTATAGCATACCGCAGGGAAGCCTAACTCATAAAGCCCAAACCCAGCAAGTGCGACTACAGGAACGGCTGACAATGGACTTAGAAATCTGGTAGACAACAACAAGGATAGCAAAAAAATAATAATAGTAATAAATAAATAATTTATATCATAATAGAACAACTCGAATCATATTTGATGTAGGCCAACCTGGTGACATTGCGCCAAAGGCCACTAAACCCCACAATAATCTGAAGCGTTGATGCGACAATTAGGGCACCTTGTGTCCCTCTCATGATTCGTAGAAATTTCTGATCATCAAAAGCAATAGGCCCATCAGTTTCTATATATCATGCAATACCACTTAGATAGATAGGCATAAAGTCCGGTGGCAACCCTATGAGGATCAGCAATGTCACTATATCGACCGGCCAGAATGATGGAGATGGTCGGTGCAACAAAAGTGTAAGACCCTCCAATCACCGCTGGCAAGCGAGTGCCAAAAAAAGACTGTAACAGTGTGTTTATACCAGCCACAAAGAGCAACGTCTGAATTACTCTAGCCTTCTCATCCTAGCATAAGAAAGAATATGTATTTAAACCCATCGAATTAATCAACAGTCATAAAAATGAATCCATGCATGAATATCCACTCAAAATTACTAAAAGTTGAAGTTTTCCAAACGGGAGAAAACTTACATTACCCCCTCCCATCTGAGGAACAAGTGCGGTGGGGATGATCACAGTTGTGCCTAACACAACCAAATAATGTTGAAAACCAAGCAGAATAGCCTCCGCTGCAAACCAAAAAAAGGACTACTTTTTATTAAAAATATGTATTATTGCATAAGTCGCCAGCGCTAAAAATCAATGGGGTTGCATCCAAAACAAAATGTCAACATTGAAGAAGTATTTCCATGAGAAAAAGTGAGTCAAACTTGGATCTGGTGGAGGTATCTAAAGATCTTTTTTCCTAACTGATTTTCTTTTTAATAACCAGCAAAAACTATAATTGAGCATACATTCAAACTGTAGAAAATTCCAATTTGATCGACTTATTTCTAAGAGTTAAACAAGAACCAAATAAAACGTATATTAGCGGTGTAGAGAAAAAAGAAGTTAAGGATAAAAGTAGTTGGCAAAACTGACGCCATGGGGGCGGGCTAGTGATGCAGTAAGAGACGTTGGGCAACTGATCCTTCACGGGATGAGGCACCAAATCATCGGCCTTCGGCGCCGGCGCTGCACCTCCACCACCAGCCATCCTTCCTCCTTTCTCTTCTCCTTACCCGAAAACTCAAGCACTAACAATCCCCCACCCTTACACTGAAAAAAGACCTAAAAACAAAAACGAAATCCACAATGACCGAGCATTGCTGCAAGTAAAGAGCTTCTTTTCAAGCTTTCAACACTTCACAGACTAAGATCACCCAACTTGCTGAAGATCTGACTTCGCAGGCACCGTGTCCAACCTTTCATGGTCCCTTCTCTCTTTCAACGCAACTTCAGCGTCTAGTGTTAGCAAATGACCCCAGCATTGAGTCTGGTTAAGTAGCTAAACCACAAAGTTGAGTTTTGAGGAGCGATTCTGAAAGATTAATGAAGAGACCCGCTTTCACCATGACGAGATGCCAACTTCTTGGGAGTTTCAAAAAAAAAAAAACAGAGAATGTGAGTGGGAAGTAGCTTTCAATAATATATGCTTCTGTTGATTGAATTTAGAAATAATTAATTATTTGATTAAACTCTTGTTTGTTGTTATTTTAGAATAAAAGGAAAAACTGTTCGTGTATTTCCAAAGTTTATATGCAATAGATTATTTGATTACGCAGAAGATACTTACGAACTATCATTCATTTGTAAAAATTAGCATAATAAATTCTGCAAAAAAAATAATATGCGGATTCATATTTGAGGCTGGCATAGTTATATGTGTTAGGCTTCAAAACTCAAAACCAAATCTGAAATTTAGCAAAAAAAAAAAATAAAGAAAATAAAAAAGATGATTAGAAGCTATTTATTTAGAAACAAAAAATGCTTGGCTCAAAAAGTTATGTTAACTTAAATAAATACATGGCAATATCATCTTGAACTTTTACCATTTTGCAATCATGCATGAATTGACATGTATGTTAGAATTTTCAATGATATGTTATCCTATTTATATAATAGTGTTGAGGGTCATAAGAGCGGTGAATGAGAAAAGCACAAATAGCAAACAAAGTATAATTGCATCTTTCAGCAATCTAGCTACAAAAACAAAATATTAACAAAAGGAAAATTTTTAGATTGTATTCAACATATTATGCTTAGTTATTTAGAGATTTGAAATTCATTGAGGATATGAAAAATTAAATAATATAAAGTGTTACATAAGCATATGACAAGTCAAGTCTACGAAAGTTAAGTTGTTATTTAAATGCATGAACTATGGAATAGAAATTGTTAGTATTTTCATTCATCTTCATATATACTGTCCCAAGAGGGGATAAAAATAATAACGGATACACTTTAAGTGAGATTAATAACTAAAAGTGGCTATTGGCCTTTACTTCAATATCTAACAATGAGTTCTAATAAGTTGGGGTGGAAATATGAGGAGTTTAAAGTAGTTTAGTGGAAGAAATATCAAGAATAGTCTAGTTTGAGATTATTTTAATTTTCACTTTAGCAAATGAGTTTAAGTGGTGTAATGAAAGAAATTTATAATAGATGTTGAGCTTATGATGTTGACTTGTTATTTTTTAACACTTATCGGTTCTAAACCAAGGTAATTCACTTGATCTTATATAAATTTTTGCTTAGTATTGATTTGGTTGTCAATTGTTAAGTCTTGTAATGTCTAATTACCCTATGAGTTCAAAACTAAAATGGAGAAGATAATTAGTAAGTGGTCAGAATGCTCCTTGGAGAACTATGGCGTTGGAACTTAGCGTGTTGTGGCAGTGTCCTCTTTATTTGGGAGGAGGATTTGAGGGAGCTTGCGCTGCTAGGTGTCATCATCGTGGTGCTCAACTCTCAAATTTGAGATTAATCTGGAAAGATCTGGAATATTCTATTGAGCGTAGCGGAGCTAGGAAGGTGAGCACCGCAGCATTTGACCTAAAATGATGTTTTTTATATGAAATATTTTAATTCATTTCTTCCCTCCCCTTATCAATTGTAAGACTTGTAATATTTAATTACCTTTAAAATTGTTTAGAATTAAAATGGAGAAGAGAATTTGTAAGTGCTCACAATGCTCCTTGGAGGACTACAGCATTGGAACTTAAAGTGTCGTGGCAGTGTCCTCTATTTTTTTAGAGGATTTGAGGGAGCATTGCAATGCTGGATGACATCAACGCAGTGCTCAACTCTCGACTTTGAGAATCTATAAAGATCATAAATATTATATTGAGCATAGCGGCGCTACAGAGGTGAGCACCGAAACGTTGGACCTAAAAGGAGTTATAAGTGGAAGTGGAGTAAGAAGCACTTATTGGGACATGTGCATTATATTAGTATTGCAAATTCTAAAAATTTATGAATTACATATGAATAATATTCTAATAACTCTAAATCCTCTGTATAATCTGATGAAATGAGAGAGCAGAAGTGCAAGAAACGATCAGATGGAAAGTATATTTTCAAACCTCTAAAAAGTTTATATGTGAAAGTATTAGTAGTGATTCCAAACCAATTGTAATATAACAATTGTTGGGACTTTACATTTTGTTAGCATTTAAGTTATATTTTATTAATTACATGAATACTTGAATAATTTGTTCTTGACATTTGAATGGATATTGGTATTTATGATAGGAGTGCAAAAGAAGTCTGATGAGTTAGTGGTGCTTATTCTATGATATTCCTCTAATATTTTAGGAAAATGAAAAGGCCTTGTGGGGTAGAGTTAATAAGGGTATGATCATTTGGTTTAAAACACTTTAGGTATTTTGAAATCTAGTGTCAATTCTTTCGATGTATATATCGCATTGTAAGTTAGAATTTTTATATAAATTTTTAGAAATGAAATTAAATGTTTGCATAAACTGTTTTTATTATTTTGGACTTTATAGTTATCTCTAGTTTATTTTGTAATGTGGTTGAGAAAATTTTAGGTTCAGATATTTAATCCTTCCATTAGATAATGAAGTATCACATATTTAGTGTAGATGCTAAGATTTGGTGAGGGTTGAGGGAATTTTGAGATATGAGGAACAATACTAAGTCTTAGCTCTCCCTAGTTTGGGTTAGAGCTTCACGAAAGGGATTGAAGCATATGTTAGCTTTTAGTTATTAGTTTATTGATCTTATAGGATAATTATAAAATGGATAAATTGGTGTGAATAGTTCAAAGTAGGTGTCAAAAATGAATAACAAGCAACTTAAAGGAAATATAAAGTTAACTATATAACTCATCAATGATATGCAAATTATTTGAAACATTAAGAACCAAGAAATTCTCCACCAAAATATTTCCTTCATAAATAGTAATTTCATTACATATATGTCCAAATTTATAATTAACAAATGACCCTTAGATTACCACATTTTGGATGAAAAATTGAGAGAAATAGGAGGTGACCACCTTACACAAGAGGAGATTTTCAACATATTTTCCATGGACTTTTACTAGATTGGGCCTCTGCTCTGGCTCTTTTAATGGGTCTAATGCATCATTTGATTGAACCATTTAATGGGCTACATAGCTAACCATAGGATGCTTGATTATGGGTATTTTTCTCCTCTACTCTATAATGGTTGATTGTTTCAAGTCCTCTAACACTATAATATCATCCAACTCAAGACTCAAGTAATGGAATTAGAAATAAACACTTATTATATTTAAAGGATCCCAAGTATTTAAAATGAATTCAAATGCTTAAAGAGATAGTGAAATATCTCTAAATAGGTAAGACTTTACTCAGATGACAAAATTTACTAGAAGATAAAGGCCAACTAAGAAACGAATTAAGTATTGATATAAGTGGATGATTAAGAAAATATACAATAATAACAATAACATCGTCATCAAACCTTTATCCTACTACTTGGGATTAACTATATGAATCCTTCTCCATTGTGTCCTATTAAGAGTCAAATTCTCATTTAAATCTAATAAAAAATGTCATTTCTATTATTTTCTTACCAAGTCTTTTTAGGTCTACATTTACCTTTTTTAATATATGCCAAATAAAATACAACTAATCTCCTAAATAGATCATCCAAAGGACAACATTTTGTGTCCAAACCATCTAAGACGACTCTCTCTGATATTATCTACCACTAGAGCTACGTAACACCAACCTTTTTCACATATACACTTATTTTGCATTATTTCTCTAAGTGTGAAACCACTCATCCACCTAAGCATCTTCATCTCTACAACACTTAACTTAATGTTATGCTTCTCTTTTAACGGCCAACATTTTACTCCATAAAGTAGTACAAGTCTAACCATCATCTTATAAATTTTTCCCTCAAGTTTGAGGAGTAATTTTCTATCACATAATAGGCTCAATGCATTCCTCCACTTCAACCATCCAACTTGATTTCTACAAATAATATTCCCATCTATTTCACTATCATTTTGAACAATTGTCCCAACATATCTAAAATGTTAACTCTTATGAATGACTTGATCGCCCAAAGTCATGATCCCCCCACTAAATCTATTAGTACTAAAATTATAATCCATGTATTCATATTTAGATCTACTCAAATGAAAACCTTTAGACTCTAAGGTTGACCTCCATAGTTTAAGTTTTATTTTAACTTTCTATCTAGTGTTATCAACAAGGAGAATATCATCAACAAAAAAGAATACATTATGGTCCATCCTCTTATAAATGTCTAGTAAGAACATCTAAGACTGAATCAAAAAGATATGAGCTTAAAATTGATCCTTGATGTAATCCAATTGAAATAAAAAACAATACTTGGTCAAATCACCTTATGTTTGAACATAAGTAACTACTCATGCATACATATCCTTGATGACTTGAATATAAGTATTATTAACTCCTTTCTTTTTTAGAACTCTTTAGATCACTTCTCCTGAAACCTTATCATATGCTTTCTCTAAATCAACATATATCATATGTAGATCCTCCTTATTCTCCTTTATACTTCTCCATCAAACCTCTCAATAAATATATAGCTTCCATAGTAGACCTACGCTGCATGAATCAAAATTGATTTTTAGAAACATTAGTATCATGTTATAACCTGTGCTCAATAACTCTCTCCCATAATTTTAATGTATAACACATTATTTAATTC